GTGGTCTGTGATAGCCAGCACACAAATCAGTGACTGTTCCCTGTGAACCCACAGTTTTGATGTGTTTAAGATTTTTCACAGTTTTGAATACATAAAGCAAACTCCCCCAGAAGGGAAGTATATGGCTCTTTCCTTCTCTTTTAATTTTCATTTTTGAGCATGGGGAAACAAATGGTTAAAAATACAGTGAAATTACTCAAACAATCAGTTCATTGTGATTAAAAAAACCAAACAAACAAAAAACTAAACAAACAAACAAACAAACAAAAAGCCTAAGCCCTGTCTTGGAAGCACTCAGGTTTTAAACTGAATTAAAAATTTTTTGTTAAAAAACAAAAGAACAAAACAAAAACCCATGCTGATTGGTAATCTATACTGTTTTTTAATGTAGGAGTATAAGGACCTATCAGTGATCTAGAAAAATGTTTACTGATTAGAATAGTGATGCAGGAACTTCTTTGCGTGGAATGACTGAGTGTGTAAAACATGCATTCTAGACTGGGTCACGTGTACAAGGTGCACAGCTGTAGGCTGATCCCCCTGTGCTAGCTGTGTAAGGTCTGGCACTACTGGCTGGTCCTCTCATGAAAGCGTATGTATAAGGTGACTTCCTCTGTGTACTTGGTGTACTCATCATGTTTTAGTTTTGTGATTGTTTTCACATAAAATTGAAACCAAGTTTCCCAGAGAAATGAATCACTCAATGTGTTACCTATCGTGAAACATTGTCGGATGCACCAGGTTCTGGGCCTCAGTCTCACCACCTTACACATAGAGAGGGTTGAGGCATCTGGACTGTGGATGAAGGTTGGCTTGTAGGCACTAACAGGGTCCATTCTGAGTAAAACACCACAGATTACAAATGTGCACAATAATGGGTATGCCATCATTAAACTTAAGACTGAAAGTCAGAAGTTAAATATGGAAAGCAAATAATTAAATATGCAAAGCATAGAAAACAAATAGAATTTAGGGAAAAACATATTTAAAACAAGGTACACATTGAACAGTGCTTTTATTTAGAAAACCACCTTGAAGAAAAGTTTTCCATAAAGCCAAAAAAAGTCAATGTCTTCCTATTGTTCTATGGCAAAGGTGCTCCAGCAGCTTTGAGGATGCATTCTTTCATGACAAGGGTTCAGCATTTTGCATTATTAAATGGAGCTAACTTGCAGAGGACTGGCACCGCACCGCATGCTGTGTGCATCAAGTCAGCTGTCATATGCAATCATCAGTCAAGTTCAACACGTGGCGCAGAGCCCTGTGAATCTCCATCATCACTTGCCACCCTTAGATCGAATCTGAGGCACAAGAAGAACTCATTTGCAAAATAAAAATGTTATCACCCTTTCTTACATCTGTTGCCACAATTTTATCTACAGCAAAACTGAGCCTTGTAGCTTGTGAAGTATTATTACTGCCATTCCTTTCGCAATTATCCACATAAAAACCATAAGCTAAAGCATATTCTTTTGCTTTGACTTTCCTTTCTTCTTTCATTCTATGAAATTGATTTTGGTAGGTTTTGTGACGAGAAGCATATTGCAACCCGAAACGTATTATCCTAAGAATAGAAACACATGCAAGTCAAACACCACAAGCAAATAACTGAAAGGTGGATTGTGGCTGTCTCTGCAAGTGTTGATTTCCTAACATCTTACTGCACTTCCCACGTTTCCTTAAAAGGAAGTTGGCCAAGTATAATGGCTGCAAAGACAAACATTATTAAATTTTAAAGAAGCAGGAGAAAACCAGGATTTGAATGCCAATGCATTTAATTTTATTTGAATGTCAACATACACCTTGGAAATGATAGGTGGATGAATCCTTCTAGAAATTGCATGGATTCTGATTCAAATCCCTTCTGGTGCTACATAAGCACAGATTGCCTAAAGAGGTATTTTATTCTGCTGCACAATGGGCTCCCCTTATCAAAGAGTGCTAAGGATTTTTAACTGACTCCAGTCCTGGGATATAAACCATTGCCGGTACAAAGAGCAACTAGTCCAGATATGTTCTTATGGTATCTAGTGCTAAACAATGAACAATATAAAGGGATCCCATTCTCTTTTTTCACAGCTGGTATTTAAAACCATTACTGGTTTCTAAAAAACACACGTGTTATCCAAACTTGTCTTGCTGGGTCATGGCTTCCCAAACTAGACCTGGGCTATCTTTAAAGTTTCATAAGTTATCAGATTCCCTCTCAAAGGTTCTGAGCCTAATCCCACAAAACTTCCTAAATGAAATTCCTGCCCTCTTCCTTCTGGGTTATCTGCCTGAAAAGCTCATGTGCACGAGCGTGGATTCATGCTTCCTCACGCTGCAGGCTTGCTGGGAGCTTGTTAAGAGAGCAATACTTTGTCATGGACTATTTCATTAATCTGCACAACAGCTGGAAGGAGTGAAAATTACTATATCAACTTTAAAGATAAAAAAATAGGCTCAGATGCAGGCTCTGGGTCTAGGAGCTTGGGAAGCCTCGCCCATCCCATTCTTCCTCATTTATTCAATACCACAAATGTATTAGACACTGTCCTAGGAAATAAAATGCAGACTGTGTCTCCAGGGTCTCCAGCCTCCCAAAAACATGTTTTGATTATCTGAAATTCAGGCGTCAATGAGCATACGACATTTTGTCTGTGTTCATTCTGGACACAATGCTATGCCGCCCATTCAGGCACTGGTCCATTCTCTCCCAGAGACCTCAGCTTGGAAAGCAATGCTATGGAGACCCACAAAGCTGCTCAGACAGAGAGACACAAGGGTGATTTTCTATTGAGAAGCATCTCTAGCTGCTACTGCACCCAGAGCAGGCACAGGAGACAGCCTGCCACACTCTTCAGTTTATTCTGTGTCTTGTCATATCCCTTAATAGAAACTAGTGTCCTGATCAAATGTCAGATTTTTCAGTCCTCAAGAGATGAGGAGTCTCTCAAGCCCAGTGAATGCAAAGCCCTTTTTAAAGGTTTGAAGGATGAATGAGGGATGGAGGGCCAACACTGGCTGGGTCCTCTTTCCTTTGGGTCACAGTCAAAGCCTAGCTGTGAGATATACAGCCTTGTCACCTTCTCATGCTAGTTCCAGATGTAACTATCTTCAGAAAACCTGGGGTCATTCTAAACCTGCTTTCTGAAATGTTCTCAAGGATATATGAAGAAACAAATCCAATCTTAGTATTAGGCTTATTACATAGTCTGATAACCTTAGGCCCATACAAAGGGGAAGAAACTATGCAATATTTTAGGGAAACAGACAAAAGATTTTGCCCATTTGCTAACTAGGAAGAGGGTGATACTTGTGATGAAATAATACAAACCCTCAAAGGTGCAGTCAGAACAGTAGACCCCTGGGTACTAATGGAACCATGCAACACAGGCAAAGATAGAAGACCAGGATTGAGGTGGGTCCTTCTCAATGTGAAGAATATTTATTCCTAAGAAGAAAAGTTTGGCATGGGTTGATGGAAGATTAGCTAGTATTACAGGAAAAAAATCAAAACAGATCGCTGAGACAAGAAAGTACACTACACAGCTATAGGAAATCTAAATAATTCCACAAGCCTAGATCATGTGGGAAATTATGAGAGATACACATGAGATACCAAGGCAGAGTGTTGGCAGTCAAAGCAGAGAGCCAACTCGTATCCAATGGCTCTCCCAAGGGCAGCCATTATATAAAGATATGATGTTAGCTTTGGTTACAAAAGGAAAAGAAAAATGTAGAGAATGGGAGGCCAGTTTAAAACTCTTGCAATGTACAGCCCACTCTCTGAGTGATGGAATGTGATGAGATCAGCATCAGAAACTTCTTTGTCCTATCAACAGTAGCTAGTGAGGAAAAAGACACCAAGGATCTAGCTCACACCCACACTCTCCTCACAACCATCCAAAGTGGCACTGTGATTTAGGCCCTCTTCTCTTCACTCACTGACAGTTTCAGCTACAGACCACACTACCTACACATGAAGGCACACATTAAGGCTCCTCAGAGCCTCCAGGAGAGCTGTGCTATATAAAGTTAGTAACCTCTCATTTCCTCCCCAAACTCTGGAACAGGATCTGAAAGCAGATGATGCTAGCAGACATTCTATGTTTAACTAGAAGACACAGAAAACAATTTAAATTGAGCTTCACTCAGATTTGTGTAAGAAATTTACAAATCTCCGATCAACAAAATACATGTCACATAATTCAGAAATGCATCTGATATGGAAAAGAAACAACACAGCACTGCTCCCAGTGCCTTCCTTGGGTTCCAGAAGAATTCATATTTACATGTGGCATGTTCCTGGATGTAGGAATTAAACACATTTTCAGAGGAGACATCAGTCAGCCTGAGGGGGACAACTCTAACTCTGGGGGCTGGGCTCCTGTGTCAGGCACAGACAGGTGTAGTCTCCACATGTGAATCTGTTGCTCTGAGGAGAGAGACATGGTATCTTTCTTGAATTCTCAGCTTCCTGGAAATGGCCTATTCAAAGTCACAAAAAAGGTAATGAAGGGTGTTTGGAAGCACATGGGAGCCTGTGGTCTCTAGACCTCCATGGAAGAACATACAGATAAGTCAACAACATGTTTTCTTGGGTCAAACTGACTGGGTTGGAAACTGGAGCCTATCTTTCAGAGTGTACACGCCTCTGCACAACAAGCTCATTTACTTACTGCCTCACTTTCCTCACCCCCAAAGTAACGTTATCTCTATTAAAGTAAGAACTGATCCCTGACAGAACACTCCTCTGGGATTCTGGGCTGAACAAGTCCATAAATTCAGAACTGAAGAATTACTGCAGCAGGGAGGGGCTGATCCAGGCTGGCAGTGAGGAGCACCTCTGCTCCCTGTCTGAGGATCTAACACACGACAAGAACACAGCACTACTTTCTTAGAGGAAACTGCATTATTCGGGACTCTTTGATTTCATCCAGGAAACCCAGGTGTCAAGCACAGATGACAACAAAGTTAGAAAAATGTTTGTGGAGGCAAAATACAGCATCTCTTACCTTGTTCCTACAACAAGTTCTTTCTGTCCGGGGTCAAATGTTAACCTCGAGAAATCCACAGCATTCTCTGCTCTGAACTCGCGTAACCAGGGGCCAATTTCTAAACATGAAAAAAAAAGAGAGATAAAAAGTAATAAATTATCTGCTTCAAGGATGACAGAGAGAGCAGAGCAGCGAGGACTTGGGGGTCCCTTGGTGTAATCATTAGGTGCCACTAGAGGCTTTTTGTCAGGACATCATAGAATCCATGCATTAACCTGAAAAACACAGAGGGTGGCCACCCAGTGAACAGCAACGCAGATGTCATTGCTTGTTATGTACAAGCCATGTTGTCCTTTGACTGAAGGATGAGCATCCACAGGACCCGTCAGAGGAATAGGGAATGGGAAGGACAGCTTTCTGTGAGACTTTGGGTTGAGGCACGAACACTAACTAACCCACTGGGCTTGGAACCAGGGACAAAGCATGCACACCTCTGCCTCTTTCAAACCAGTGCTTCCATTGTGGGCCATTCAGATTTCTATATTGGCCCTGCACTTAGACTCGTTAAACACATTTGGTCCTTTATAGCTGAGAAATCTGTAGCTACTCCTAGAACTCATTTTCATTATTTCTTTTTATTTTATTTTTCATTATTTTCTGTGTTTATTATTATTATTTTACAATATATCCTGATTGAAACTCCCTCCTGAAATCCTTCCAAGTTCCACCCTCTCTCCCTCTTATACCCTATCCCCTTCCCTTAGTACATTGAAAGGGGGAGTTCTCCTCCCCTGCCATCTGCCCATAACTTATCAAGTCCCATCAGAACTGCCTGCATCCTCTTCCTCTGTGGCCTAGCAAGAGAGCAGGCAACCAAGTTCATGACAGAGGCAGCCTCTGCTCCCCTTACTTGAGAACCACATAGAGACTGAGCTGACAATTGGCTACATCTGAGCAGAGACTCTAGGTCCTCTCTGTGCATGGTCCTTGGTTGGTGCATCAGTCTCTGCATTATCCCCTGGGCTCAGGATTTTTAGCTTTATTGGTCTCCTTGTGGGGCTCCTGTCCTTTCCGTGTCCTTCTATCCCTATCCTACACCCATTTCTTCCCTACTACTCCCTGAGTCCAAGTTTGGCTGTGAGTCTCACTCAGCATCTGCTTCAATCCCCAATTGGGTGGAGCCTTTCAGAGGACCCTCTCTAGTAGGCTCCCATCTTGTTCCCTCTCTTCCACCACTTCTGGTGTCTATCCTATTTGCCATTCTGAAAGAGATTTAAACTAAGGGAAACCAGGAAACAGTCACTGTAAAGTCACAGGCTTCCTCCCCCGCATCACTGTTCACTCATGCTAGAAGGCCCCCAGCCCTGAGTCTGATTATGCTGAGACAACACCATTTGCAGAGAGATGTAACACTATTTCTGAACCATGGCCCATTCCTGGCACTGAAGAAACATGCAGCGTGTTGTTTGCCAGTTTCCGGATACCTTCTCCTCTTCCTTGGCAACCAACCATATAATTGGATGTTCTTTTTCATCGAGTTAGTTTTTGAATAATGTAATACTGACTAAATGGGCATATGCTAACTGTCCAACCAATGTTGTTATTGGTTTGAAGAAAGGCGATAATCTGTTTCAATAAAGACTGAAGATAAAAACAGACCCACTGTGGAAAACGTTTGTCACATAACACATGCAGCAGAGGTATAGCTTTCTGGGTGGGTAACAAAACATCTTCATTATCAGCTGCTGGAGAATTGATACTGATTGAATGTAATTTTGGTCTAAGCTCATAGAAAGACTTGCTTTTGAAATTTTAATGTATATGCTCCCCCATTTCTTTTTGGCATTTTACACACATTTTTCATGTTTACCATAAATTAATGGAAACAACTACTCATTTATAACTATGTAAATATAAGACCAATACTATAAAATGTTATTGGTAAATGATCCCTCTAAAAACTTATGGTGCAGTTAGGGCAATAGTGTTAATGTCTCTATAAACATAAATATAATGTATAAGCGTCTGTAGGGCTGCAGGAATTCTACAGCTATAGAAAGGAGAGGTCAGTGGGGCAATGGAGGGGAAGAGTCCCCCAGAATCATAGGGCACATGTGCTAGAAGAGCAGACAAGGAGACCACAGTGTTCCTCTACCCCTACCTCATTTAATAATCTGTTATCCAATACAGAGACCACACATTTTTGTTGTTCTTTTATTTTAATGATTTAATTTCATTTCTTTTTATTTTATGTTTACTAGTGTTTTGCCTGCATGTTTGTCTGTATGACAATGTCAGATTCCCTGGAACTGGAGTTATAGAGAGGTGTGAGCCTCCATGTGGGTACTGGGAATTGAACTCAGGTACTTTGGAAGAGAAACCAGTGCTCCTCACTGCTCTAAACCCCCTCTCCAGCCTATCATCTAACCATCTTTATTCTAACATGAAGACTGAAGTTTACCTCTAACCCTACCTTATCTAGGCCCCCGACTTCAACATGGGAGACCATAGTTTCTCTCTGTGTACTCTAACAGTATTTTCAACAATGGGAAATGAAAACCAAAGCTCTGGTGTCTACAATGTTGAAATGGTGCCTTGAATGTGTTGGCCATTGAGGAAGGTATAAATTCAAAGACTAGAGATGAGTGAGTCCATTCAAGAGTCAATGCATTAAGAAAGAAGGAAGGAGAAAGAAACAGTTGCTGACTGAAAATCAAGATGTATAATTACACATAAACAGTAGAGAAATTCATGGACAGTCTATGATATCTGGGGTTCATAAGAGGTGTCACAAGAAAACTTTTACAAGTTTTCAAGTGAGCAGTTAACTTATTGATCAAAGACCCTGGAAATAGGAATAAGCCACTGACAGAGAAGATGCTGTGGAAAGTGTAGACAGTAACAATACTGGATATTAAAAGCACTGACTACCATAGAATTTAGTTAGCAGCCATGAAAACAGATATGTGAGAGGTGCTGGGAGGATCTCATTAGTCAGACTAGAGATCAGAGGTGAGACCAAGTGAGAAAAGCGAAACAAAACAAAACATTTGCAGGTTAAATTAAGGAGTCAATGTTTAGGGGCATGACTTGATTTACTAAAAGATCAGGAAACCATAAGAAAGTCACCCATAAGAGCTGACAGGTGGAAGGTGGACAAGCACTTCAGGTGTAGGTTTCCGGTCTGAGGAAGAACAAAACAACAGCAAAACAATGGTGTTTCTGAAGTATAAAGAAGCTGAGTAAGTAAAGGAAAACAAGTATAGCAGTCAGTGTGGTACAATTTCATTAACTGCAATTCAAATGTATTCCCCACCCCACACACCAAAAAACCCAAATTGTACATTTAGGGCAACGGTCACTCAACACCAGCCAAACTGTACAATTTCTTAATTTTGATTGTTTGTTGTATTCCTCACCAATGTTAGTCTGTTTCATGTTTGCATAGCATACACCCTCATTTCTTACTGAATCTATCAAGGTCATTGTGAGGATTTCTGTACCATAACCTTTCAATGTTCCCTGCAGGCCAGAGTCACAAGGCACTTTCCTCTGCTGGAGACCAGGGCTCTGATTTTTCCCAAATCCCATCTTTTTAAATTTATTTGCTACCTTTCCTAAGTCAGCCCTTTTCCCTTTAATGTCTCCAGTATAACTGGAGTCACTTTATACCACTCTGTCTAGTGTTCCCCTTTAAGACATGTTTTAAAGCTTATTAGTTGCACTAATTTGCTATTAAAAGCACATAAACTAATTACATAATTAGTTTATGATTTCCAACATATGGCATGCTAGAGAAGCAACAAAATTAGGTTTATGTGCATTATGACCAAGTCTATAATGAATATATAATATAAACATTTGTAGAAGTTGTTTCATACAAAAAGATAAAGACTCCCATCTCAGTTTGAGGTTGTAATTATTGTGATATTCTAGGTGGTAAGGAGGGATCAGTAGCATTATAAGAGAGGAATCCCAGCAATCAACTGAGAACATACCTTAAATTATGTTAAAGAAATGTATATAGTATTGCAAATCAGACACATGTGTGTACATACAAGCACACATAGAAACATACCCATATATATGTACACACAAATACATATATACACATCCAAATACAAATATACACATGCAGATACATACATGCATGTGCTTACATGAAACACAGGGAATTGGATTTATCTAATAAATATAAGAATGGCCCAGAGATTCTAGCATCATAAAATATGCAGTTTACCTTCATGATAACAGATGCCAATAAGAGCAGTAAATCATTATCAATATCGCCTTTCAAAATTCATAAAATGAACTGAAATAGACTAGATGATGTGGGTCAAGAGAGGAGACTGTGGAGCCTGGACATTTGGTAGAAAATGAGCTTATAGTTGGTCAAAAATGTAAAGAAGAAAGTCGACAAAGAGACAGCCCAGAGCACTCTCTGCATTGAGCGGATTCAGGGCTCATCGATACTATTATGCTCACTGCTGCACAGAGCTGACTTTCCTCCTTCCTCCTCTGCGACTGATAGAAGATACACATGATGGAGGGGAACTGGAATACAACATCTATCAAGACCATTGCTGGGACGTGAAGCGACACAAACCTTGCAGATTCCAACTGAACACCTCATGTATCATTTTTGACGCTTGAGCACCCTGGAAAACCCAACCTTTTCACAAGCATAATTATTGACACATGTCATCTGATAATGATTTTCTACCACAAACCAGGTGTGTTGATCTGCAAGTTCTTACGACAACATAAGCCTCACACATGTTATTTTGTCAATATTTAATCAAAAGTACACAAATTCTGCTTTTAAATTAAATGTGGCTTGTACTTTGAAGAAAACTATTTTAATCAACATGAGTGAAGGTTAATAAGCTTGATCAAAAATAATCGGGAATTTTAAACTACATGCTGACTTAGACAATGCAAGTCTGTGATCCTTCCTTACACGGGAGAGATAAGTGGGAGAACTGTTATCTCAAACAAACAAAACACATTCTAGAGATACTCGGAGTAATAATGCCATAATGGGAAACTTTGGAAATCTGAAAATATGGCCACAAAGGGATTCTGTTACTGTGGAGCAGCTCTTGATCCAAACATGAC